CGCCAAGCCCGGCAAAGGGGGGGGAAGGACCGGCCTCGCCGCCGCCGCCTCCACCTCGGAGCCGGGCGGGCGGGGGGAGGACCGGCCTCGCCGCCGCCTCCTCGGGACATCAAGCGGGGGGGATGGAGGAGACGGAGCTCTTCTCCCCCCCGCGCGAGTATCGCGGGTCCCCGTCTTGTTAATCACTAACTCAGGTCACCTTCCCTTGGCCACTCAAAGAGGCAGTTAGCTATCCACTACTTTAAAAGCCACCCCTACAGAAAAATGATGTGGCCAGTGACTGAGAGAGCAGGACAGGTCCAACTCCAAGTCTTTTTCTATTACTCATCTGATCTAGACTCTTTACAATGTGGCTTCAAGCCAGGCTGTGGGACAAAGACAGCTCTTATAGCTTTAGTTGATGGTGACCTTTGTCTGAGTGTAGACAAAGGCCAAGCCTCTCTTTTGCTCTTATTGGATTTATCTGCAACCTTTGATACAGTAGATCATGCCATGTTGTTGAGGAGCCTGAAGGCAGAAGTAGGCATCGGGAATGTATGCTGAACTGGTTGAAATCATTCCTCAGAGAATTGCTACTGGAAACCAGCTGCAAAAATTGCTTTCTACCAACTCACTCTAGCCTGTAGGATGACTAGATGACCCCTTACCTTGATATGGCTCACTTTGCCACCTGGATCCACACCACAGTAACACTGAGACTAGACATACTTGGATAAATTATTAGAGACTGTAGTCTATAGTGCAGTGCATAGCTTATTGTAAGTAGGATCCTATTATGTAATTTTTGTACTACTTCATGTGTCATTTAGTACATACACTGTGCTTTAGTTCTTTCTTTTTAAATATTTTATTAAACATTTCTCTATTTATTACAATAATAAAACAAGTATAAAGAAACAAAATTCACTAGTTTGTCACTACATAAAAGCTTACAATATTAACACTCATTTTACAATAGGGCAATAAATTTACTGTTTGTATTATTTTCAAATGAATTTGGATTTTCTTGATCAATGGCTCCAGACTTCTAAAATCCTAATTGTATTGGTTGTTGAATGTCTCGTTTTGTTGATTGTATTGACTTATTATGGGTAATCTACCTTGATTCCTGGGAGAAAGGCAGACTATAAATAACATAAAATTGAATGTGTCTACAGTAAGGATGGGTGTGAACTGTGTGACAAGCCAAAATTCGTGCTGATTTCTGGCTGGATAGGGGCTCGGGAGGTGACGTTCAGCATGCACATGGTCTCTGAAGAAATCTCTGAGCTTTTGGGCATGGCTCGGGGCAGCTCGAAAAACAAAACCCACCCAGAAACACTGGCGTGAAAATGCAGGTTGGCCCTGAGGGTATCTGGTCATCTGAGAGAGGGTGGCCTGGCCAGGGACTTGGTGATGGCAGCTACCTGCAACAGTGCTGGTGACAGACCTGCCTGCTTCCAGGGTAGGACAAGGGGTTTCATCCATCTCAGGGAGATCCGCAGCAGGTTTGATGGCTCTAGCTCGCACAGGGTCAGTTCTACACTCTCCTCCTGACCCTGCACCTGTCATGTCCCCAGAAAGTGCTTTCCTGGGGGCACCTTATTTGGGGAGACATAACTTGGACCCCCGCAAGTCCAATCCCCACATAAATTGGAGGGCATGTAGGGGGCATGCCAGGGAGGTCTGCAGCAAGTTGAATGCCTCTAGCTGGCACAGGTTCCATTCTGTAGTCTCTTGAACCTGCACCTGTCATGTCCCTAGAAAGTACTTTCCTGGGAGCACCTTCTTTGGGGGGCCATAACTCAGACCCCCCCCCAAGTCCAATCCTTACCAAACTTAAAGGGCTGGTAGAGGAGAATCAGCTGGAGATCCCCTGTGAGTTTGGATTCTCTAGAACCCCGGGGGAGCCCCGCAACATCCCAAATTTCCTGGTTTGGTTTGGGAAAGCCATTTTGGTTCAGTTCGGGTTGACACCTGAACGGAACCACTTTTTTTGGGGGGGGGTTGTGCCCATCCCTAGTCTACAGTGAATAATTCTGCAAAGGAACTGGTATTTCTGTTGCTGTTCATCTTGAACATCAGCTTCTTCCAACAGTAGTTTGACTCCAGCAATGGATCTACAGAAAATGGCTACATGCAAACAAATTTTTTAAACATTAATATAAATAATATAGTATAAATAATAAAGATTATGCTGAAGTCAAACAGGTATTTCTTCCAATAGTAAACATAACTTATTTTCTATTTTTTGTGCATCGTACTTCGGTTTTAGGGTCATCTTTAGTTAATCCCTATTGAAGTATTTATGCTTTGACACGTATGCTTGATCCATTGGACAGAAGGGCCCTTAAACCATATGCTTTGCTTTTAAAAGCTCGTTAAGCATTTCGGATTCCTCAAAAGAAAAGTTAGTATGACATGCGACTAGCACAGTATTCTGGAAAAACATTTGATGCAAAGATTGGCCTTTGAGATTTGGGTTTTAGAACTGTAATCTGAACTCTGGAAGACAACAGAGAACTTTGTCATAAACTTCTGATCGTATTCTCTTTCCTCTCCCTTCTTCCTTTAGGATATTAATGTATGTATTCTTGAGAACTACCCTGAATGTTCCAATCCCAGGTTATTTTATATTATTCCATATTTCTGTGGACAGCATCCAAGATGCAGGTAACTTTGTACCTTTTCCTTTCCACCCTGGATGTTGCAGGGTTATTTATTGCTAAATTAGCATTTAATAGAAATAGAGGGATTTAGAGTACCCCACAAACAGTAGGAGCGCTAAATCAGAGTTATTCTGAAGGACAAGATGTTGTGCAAAAGACCAGTGGTATCATATCAGCTATGCCATATACTACTGAGACAATATAAGCCTCAGTGCCATCAGACAGTTTGGCTGGTAAATTCTTTCCAAACTGATCAGCTGAGCTTTGAAAATAAAAATTAGGTGACTTTGTTAAACTTCTTCTTACTACTTCCCAATAAATCTTCATTGGCGCTTTAGCCTGTGAAACACAAGTTTTGTTAGTCCTCTCCAATAGGCTACTGTTGATGGCATTGATCAGGTGACTGCTTCATTTCTTTAAATTACCAAACATATATGCTGTTAGGGCTAGGCCTTCTTGTGTATGTCAGCCTCACAGTTCCTGATCAGAGTTTAAAAGAATCAGTTGTTTTCAAGAAAGTGATCCAAACAATTTATATGTGTCTTAGAAAACGTATTGCTAGTTACTTTTGAAAATGACTGATGCTCTGCGGTCATTGGAAGATTCAGGTGGGGTAGCCATGTTCGCCTGAAGCAGCAGAGCAAAGGTTGAGCCCAGCGGCATCTTTAAGACCAACAGAGTTTTATTCAAGGTATATGCTTTCGTGTGCAATCGCACTTCTTCAGATTGAAAGGTTTGCTAACAGATTCTGTTATGCTATAACTGACATGTAAACCGTGTCCATTTTCACTTGGAAAGCTCAATTGGAATGAGACTTTATTTAACATTCTTTCAGGGAGCCTGGTGAATGGGCCCTCGAAAGAGCAAAAGTGAATGTGAATGAAAACTTTCTACTCGTGGGGATTCTAGAAGAATTGGAGGATGTGCTGCTTTTACTAGAAAGATTCTTACCTCATTATTTCAAGGATGTGCTTAGCATCTACAAAAACCCAGGTAACTTTTCATATCAAGGCTGTCGTCTGCTGTTATCACTAATTGGTTTGGGGTTTCTATTTCTTTAGGGGTGACTTGTTTGCTTTTAAGATTCATATATGTCACATGTAACTATAAATCCTGAACAAGCAATAACCAAATTCTAAATGTTCAGATTTTAAAAAATCTTATATACACACAAAAGCACACGCACACACATACACACACACACTGGATTAAGTTACAAATTGCCACATCTTCTTAACCTCCTCAGTTCGGTGACTGAAATACTAAATGGGAACTTGCTGCAGCAGTTGGTGTTTACTATTAATAATACAAGATCTTTTAAAGTGGACTTTTTAATGTAACATTTATCAAGTACACAGACTGCACAACTGTTCTGTGGTATCTATACAGTAATAGCCGTCATATTTATATATTAGAATGATGCTGTTATGGATGGTGCATGAAAAAATTGAACTACAGTGCTTAAAGATGTAATATTATTTAAATGAAATGAAGAAATTAATCGGTTTTAGGCAGTTTATCAGTATATTTTATCCTGCCCTTTCCCCAGTAGCTCAGGGTTACGTGGCTGTCCCCTTCTCTGTTTTATCCTCACAATATCCCTGTGAGGTAGGTTTGTCTGAGAGAGAATAACTGGACTGAGATCATCAAGCCAGGATTTGAACATGGGGCTCACTAGGGCTCATCAGATACTGTACTACCCCCCACCACATTAGCTCTTAATGTCTTCAGCAATTTTGGACAAAACATGTTGATAAAGAGCTTAACAATTGACCAAAAAGTGGTGGGGGTATTGAAGCATACAGTGAAGAATAGAAAACAAACATGTGGCTTAAGCACATACCAAGGGATTAGAAGATACTGCTACTTTGTAAACATTTAATCCTTGGATAAAAGATTAGCCTTTCAGTGCAAGTTTACTTTATACACATTTCTAAAGATTAAAATATTTAGTGTATGAATTAACTCTTACTGATTTACCTATTATGAAATAACCTCCCCTTTATTTTCTTATCTACTATTGGGGCTGCAAGATTATTCATGTTAGTAGGCTAAAAAATGGAACCATACCTCGTAGGTATTGTGGAATTTTTTTCAGTCATCCATAGTATATATCTAGGGAGAGAAACACTACTAATACAGCCATCAGTTGTCAGTAGGGGATGGGAATGATTTTCTTTTATTTTGTTACATGGTTCAATTTTGCTTGTTAGGAGTGGATTTTCATTAGTGCATGGGGCTTTATTCAGTAGTTCAATAGGGTTTACTGAAGAAAACAGGAAGATACTTTGCCCAGGACATTGCAGCGTACCAGGTCAGCAAGGTTTCCAAGCTATGTAGACTTTTTATCTGTTTTTCCTCCTCATGCTTTCTTGCTGAAGGCAATGTAGATATGATATGTAAAAATTAGAAATTCAAAGTAAAATTCTTGATTTAGAAAAACAAGTTTAGGTGGCAACATCAGGGCAGATCACATTGTTGATACACAGTCAGATTTTTTCCCCTGGAATTCATCTTCTGATTCAGGATTTCTTTTATGTGATAGAGAAAAGTTTCTGCCGGTTGGACTGGTGCTTTTAGAACTGATGCTAGGCTACTGTAAATATAACAATTAAACAGAGTATGAAAATATTTAGAATGTCGCTGACATATTGTGATGTTGGTATATAATATATGCTGTGGTTGATCAAGTTGTTGTATAAACTTGCTTAGAGTAAGTTGAAATCATTGTGATGGGCTGAAGACATTTAGTTTGCATGCCGGTAGGAGAGGCCAGTAAATAATCTGTAAAGCAGTTGGCAAATATTCAGGTTTACAGGGGTAATGCCATGCCCTTTGAAAACCCTAACATCTCAACTGGCTGATGTCACAGCTGTTTTTCACAGAAATGTATAAGTATGAGGGTGACCTGGATGGCCAGGCTAGACTGATCTCATCAGATCTTGGAACCTAAGCAGGGTCATCTCTGGTTAGTATTCGATCACTATGCAGAGGAAGGCAATGGCAAACCACCTCTGTTTCTCGCTTGCCTTTAACAGGGTTGCCATAAGTTGGCTGTGACTTGACACCACTTTCCACTACCAAGAAAACAGAATGAGCCTTAACGTAGCATGATAGTAACACCACACTTGCCTGTTACACCCCCTCCCAGATACACACTCAGTTCAGATGAGACAGTAGTATGGAGTAGTGTCTGACTGATTTGTACTCTCAGGGAGCCCTTTCCTCATCAACGGCTCTGCCTAGAAATCCCTGTAATCTTGGACTGCAGTCCATAGTTCATGAGGAGTGCTGCTAAGGCACATACTGCCTTGATAATACACCCCTGCTGTTGTTGAGCATGCCTTTGTGTTCCTCCATTGGGAAAGCTATGTGTATCCTATCAGTATGTGTGGAGCCCCCCAACTGGGCCAATAGCAGCCCCAAAAGCCATTCCAGATCAGGAAAACATTGCAGAAGGCTGAAGCCCCAGCTTCATTGCAGATCACAGCTCTGATCTGAACTGGGACACCATGATCCTGGGAATGGAATTCACAGTGGGGAACTCACAATGCACATCTGATAGAAAGTCCTTGTTGTGGACCCAGAGAAAACACAAGACTCTCTAACATGTAGGTTCAGAATTCCTGCTAAGCTGATTTTTACCTTAGCATCAGACTAGGGTGGGTAGACCTGTTCTCTGGTGGCCAGTTCTACCCCCATAGAAGACAAGGGTGGATAGAACTGTTCTCTGGAGACCCTGTCTACCACCAGGGAAGCCGGCAGCAGGTAGACCTGTTCTCCGAAGGCCAGGTCTACCGACATGGAGCCCTATGGCAGGTAGACCTGTTCTGCAGGGTCCAGGTCTACCCTGTAGAAGACAACAGTGGGTAGACCTGTTCTCCAGAGTCCAGGACAACTATGGAGGCCTATGGCGGTACAAAGGAGTGTGACAAATGAGAGGGAGGCTCGGCTTGATGTGCTTCTGCCACTCCAGTGTCCTTTATGACCTGCAGGTGAGGCACAAGGAGCAGGGAGGGAGGGAGGGGCAGTGAGCCACATGGCGGTTGACTGTGCGGTGACAGCCAGATCCTCTCCTGGGCACACCCATGGGAATTTTGAGGGCTACCACTGTTTTACCGAAAGGTCAGCTGGAGACAAGCAGCAGCCCAACAGGGGGAGTTTTTCTGAGGGTAGGGGTGCGGGCGAAGGAGATGTTTGTTTCAGAGGCAGGCAATGGCAAATGTCGCTTGCCTTGAAAACTCTGTGGGGTTACTCGCCACAACTCAGCTGTGACTTGAAGGCTGTGTGTGTGCATGCGTGTGTCTGGTAGGTAGTGTCGGCACAGACTGAGCGACAAGTTGCAGGCGTTTGCAGCCAGCTCTTACACCTATCCCCTTTTTGTCTTGATCAGTTTCTGAAGGCCAGTAGTTCTTGTTCTGGGTATGGTCTAAAGAAAAAAATCTGAAATTTCTAAAAGAGTGAAAAGTAATGAAGCTTGATTTCCTTTGTGTTTTGTGTCATTAATTAATTATATCTTTTGGTCATGCATGTATGGTATGACAAGCACACAGGTAGAGTGAGGGAATGACTGTGTGTATCTGTGTGCATGTGTGCATGAATGCCCAAATCTATTCAAAGCTGTAAATCAAATTTCACTTTTTGTATGAGCAGTGTATGTGGATTGCCCATAAAGTCTAGCCATCATTCTCACTAGTCGCTTTGAATGAGAATGAGGCCAGGGTCCTTGTTGTGGGCCCATACAAAGTGCTCCCTGAAGTCATTATTTTGTAGATTCCAAAAATGTCTTTCTTTCTTTTTTCAGCTAAAAAAAATAGTGATGTAATCTGGTCAACATGGAATTAAAATATCAGAGCAATCTGTTTTAAAGGAAACTCTGTGGAATTGATCCAGATTGTTATATGCAGAATTGTTTTTTATTATTTTACAAAATGTAGGTGGGGGGAATAGTGTTGCAAGCTGCTTTTCTCCCCAGTGGGAATCCAAAGCAACTTGCAATATTGCTCTCCTTTCTTCCATTGTATCCTCACAACAACCTTGTCAGGTAGGTTAGGCAGAATGTGAGACTGGCGCAAGTTCACCAGCAAGCTGGCATAACACTGTAGGGATTTGAACCTGGCTCCCCCAGATCCTAGTGTGACACTCTAACCACTGGCTGTCTGCAGTTAGGACACCACCACACATTAAAGTTGTTAGCTCAATGTTATATCTGAGTTTGCCACAGCAGACAAACAGGTTGTACATGTGTATATACATTTTTAAACACCTGTGCACATATGTCTGGGAAATCAGATTGGAACTGGATTCCTACACATTTTTAAATTGGATATTTAGTACATTTTTATCCTGCCCATTCCTCCAAGTTGCAGAGGGTGCTGTCCATGGTTTTATCATCCTCTGTCTTATCTTTACAACAACCTTGTAAGGTAGGCTACATTCACACGAGAGTCAAATGTAGCCTTGCTCACACTTTAATGCTTGTAGCTCACGAAGTAGAATTTTTGCTCACAAGGTTCCACGGCTTAGAGGGAACACTGGAGGTATGCCCTTACTCTTTTCTTTACTTCAGGCAGATAGACAAGACGGAGATGATGCTCAGTGGAATCAAGTATTTTTTTAGGGTATCATGTCAACAAAGTAAGGGCAACTCTATTGGGGACTGCAGTAGGTGGAGAGGCAGCATGATGTCGTGATTAAAGTGTTGGGCTAGGATCTGAGAGGCTGATGTTCGAATCCCCACTCTGCCATAGAAACTAGCTGAGTGACCACCCTGACGTGGATAGCCCAGGCAAGCCCGAACTTGGAAGCTAAGCAGGGCCAACCCTGGCGAGTACTTGGGAGACCTTCAAGGAATACCAGGGCTGGAAATCAAAGGCCACCAATAGTAAGCCACCTCTCTGAAATGTCCAATCCCCACTTAGGAGTCGCCAGAAGTCAACCAAGACTTCCAGGCACACACACATGCACACACAGAGAGACAAATACCAAAAAGA